TATACATATTTTTCAAATCCTTGTAGATAGTGATTCACTCTTGACATCAACTGAAAAATTCAACCATTTGTTATCGTGTCTTCAAGGCGAAGCGTTAGCTACAGTAAAGGCGTTCCAAATAACGGAAGACAACTATCCGAAGGCTCTCCAAAGACTCAAAGAGCGATACGACAATGACCCTCTCATATTTCTGGAAGGCATTGCAACACTTTTTGATGAACCACAATGTATTAAGCCTGATTCGACTCAACTTCGCCAATTAGTGGACAACATTTCGGCTTTATATAGTTCGCTTAAGTCACTGGGATCACACGAACAGATATGTGATGCAATCATGATTCATTTGGTGATGACGAAAGTGGATAGTGAGACGAAACGTAAATGGAATGAATGTCACGACTATACGAAACTACCAACTTGGCTGGAATGTTGCAAGATGCTTGACAGGCGATGTCAACAATTAATGGTACTAGCAAAGGCCAAGCCAAAGGCTACAATCAACCAAGAATTGCAGCATACTAGTGTTCGTAAACCTTTCAAGCACATCTTAATGACGAAACAAAAGTCTACAAGTCAGATTCATTGTGTATATTGTTTAAAACCTGGTCATTATATCACTAATTGTCCAAATTTTTTAGCTCTATCAATTGAAAATCGATGTCAACAGGCGAAGCAAATTCAACTATGCTTTAATTGTCTCCGGAAAGATCACATTAGCACACATTGTCCATCAACGTATTCATGCCGAATGTGCAAAAAACGACATCATTCACTTTTACATAATACTGGTGCATCATCTAATATGGAACCTTTGTGTGAGCAAACAATATCACCTCTAAGTCATGTACACACTAATGCACTAGTTCCAGACGAAACTTCTGCTCGGGTAAAATCAGTGGTGCTTTTGGCAACAGCAATGGTGTTAGTTAAAGATGCATCTGGTACTTTTCAACTCTGTAGAGTGTTATTAGATTCATGCTCGCAGGTCAATTTAATATCGGAATCGATGTGTAATGCACTTCATCTAAAAAAGTCACGAAGTGAAAACAGCCTTGTTGGTGCAGGAGCTGCATCAGTAAATATTAAACATAAAACAATAAGCACGATACGATCAAGGTTAAACAGTTTTGAAGCAGTACTTGAGTTTCTCGTTACCAAAAGAATTTCTGGATATCACCCTAATGAAACACTGTCGTTAGAAGAGTTGCAAATTCCTGAAAATCTTCAATTAGCTGATCCGACATTTTACAAACGCCAAAAAATTGATATGTTACTTGGTGCAGAAGCTTTCTTTTCACTGCTAGCAGTAGGCCAAATAAAACTTGGTGAGAATTTACCGACTTTACAAAAAACTTTGTTCGGCTGGATTATTTCAGGAAAACATTGTTCTACTAAAGATTCCAAAATTGTTTCATCCCATTGTGTTGTCAGCTTGGATACAATTAATGCGAACTTGGAACGGTTGTGGCAGATAGAGGAACCAGTTCATCCACCATCAGTATGGTCAGTAGAAGAACAGCAATGCGAAACCAACTTTCAAAAAACTGTAGCTCTCAGTAACGATGGCCGAATTATGACAAGGTTGCCATTCAAAGGCGACACAAGTACTCTTGGAAATTCTCAGAAAATTGCATTAAGAAGATTTTTATCTATGGTAAGAAGACTTGACTCCAATATTGAGTTAAAATTGGAATATGTGAAATTTATGCAAGATTACGAAAATCTCGGACATATGTCGATGGTTAAGGATTTGGATTTAAATTCTCCCCACTATTTTATCCCACATCATTATGTAATTAAACCAGATAGCACAACTACTAAATTACGTGTAGTTTTTGATGCTTCAGTTCGTACATCATCACAAGTGTCATTAAATGAGTTATTAATGGTGGGCCCTACAATCCAAAATGAACTTGTAATAACATTATTAAGATTTCGATTATATCAATATGGAATAACGGCTGACATAACAATAATGTATAGACAGTTTTGGCTACATCCAAGTGATCGCAATTTTCAACTAATTTTGTGGCTTGAGCATAAATCGCAAAATATTTCAGTTTATTAACTGAATACTGTTATATATGGTACGAGTTCTGCGCCATTTCTTGCAACCCGGTGCTTACACTACATTGCAGATAACTATCCTTACCGTAAAGAAACAGGTAAAATGATATTAAAAAGGGATTTTTATGTCGATGACATGATCTCAGGAGCAGATGACTTGGAGACATTGCAAGCCATCAAAAATGAAACTACCGAAATATTGGATTTTTACAACTTATCGTTAACAAAGTGGAATAGTAACAATGTTAACATCACTGCACCAAATGTTAAACTTATAGATATTGAGACTGCAAGAGATATGGCATGCCCACTTGGAATGTTATGGAATACGAAAGAAGACTATTTTTGCTTCACTTTTCAATCAACCAATATACCAGCAAGTCATACTAAACGAAACATTTTGTCATTAGCATCATCTTTATATGATCCTTTGGGTCTAATTACTCCACTTATCATCAAAGCTAAGATTTTGTTACAGCAACTATGGATAATTGGATGTGATTGGGATGAATCCGTACCTTAAGAAATTTACACAACATGGAACAAAATTCTTGCTGATTTGCATCAAGTGGTACTTCTTAAAATTCCTAAGTTCACTCGAATCAAGAACTCAATTAACATGCAAGTACATGGCTTCAGCGACGCATCAATTAGAGCATACGGATATTGCATCTATCTACGTTGTCAAGATAATTTTGGCAATGTTAATGTTCATTTATTAACTTCCAAATCCCGAGTTGCTCCTGTGAAAGCAAGATCATTACCACGTCTTGAATTGTGTGCCGCCCATCTTCTTGCTGGATGCTGGATGCCATGTACCAACCGATCAGAATCCAGCTGATCTCGTTTTTAGAGGGTGTACCGTCCCAGAATTCCTGTAATCAAATTGGTTCAAAGGACCTTCATTCTTAATGTTGCCGTGGCCAAACTGGCCAGAACATTCAATAAATCAACTAACAGTTGACGAACGCAAGTTAGAAATTCGCAAACTAGTGTGCATTTTGGAAGATATCAAACTGTCGTATTTGCAACAGAGACTTCATCAGATAAGCAATTATAACAAATGTCTACGTATGGTTGCGCTGATGCTAAGATGGCATCACAAGCACGAGGCACAAATTCAATCATTATTCGTGATAAATGAAATACAACGCGCTCTGTTGCATATTGTATATATTATTCAACAACACTATTTTCACAAGGATATAGTAGTTTTACACAACTCAAACCAATTACGAAGCTAGCTGTATTACCAATTAATTGAACCTGACGGTCTCAATGGGGGCCGGTATGTTAAGTCAATTGGGTTCTCGTATACTTATTTTAAGTTCAATTATTTAATATTTATTTACAACTAACAAAAAAGCTTTTAATAGCCGCAGCTTTCCTTTTTTTTTGCTTTTTTTGCTATTGTTAATAATATGTTTTAAAAATAAAGTCAGTGGTATGTGAACTACTCAAGCAAAAGGTGCGTTTGGATTTCTATAAAATCAAAGAGAATAGAAAAAACTATTAAATTAAATAGTTTTCGATCAAATTCCTTTAGCAGTTTAAGTTTTAATGATCTTTATAAACTTATCGTTTCAGTTAACACATATCTTTTTACAAATTGTTTGCTAATACTATTAGTTACTTTTAATTTAAAAAAAAAACTTAGTTTTCACAAATTGAATTTTAATGTTCTCAGTTAATTTTAACTTAAATAACAAAACATAGTTTTTCACAAATTGCTTTTTAATACTTTTAGTTATTTTTAATAAAAAAATAAAAAAACACAGTTTCCACAAATTGATTTTTATTACTTTCAGTGGATCCTTTAACTTCAATTTTTAATCATATTTTACAGTTCAGTAAATAGAAACGTCTTCACTCAAACAAAACTGTCGAAGATCAGAGAGCTCTTCAACCGTGCACTAACATACCATTTTTATATCCTATTTGTTTTCGTCAGCATCCCGTTGATTCCCAAATCCCGCACAATTTTCGAGGCCGTTTTTTGACCCCCATATTAATACTGTTTTTTTTATGGACTGTGACGTCCATAAGTACGGCCACCGGCAGAGACGTTGGCCGTTTAACGAATTTTGCATAAATTTCCGGTGTACCGGGCTGTATACGAACACGAGTATATGAAATCACTCTTATTTCATATTTATTGTTCGCAATTTCGTTAAGCAGATTTAAAAGTGATTTAAGGGGTTTTTCCTTTTGTTTAGCTGGTCGATCTTCTTCTTCTTCCACTACGAGTCCATCAAATCTATACGAATTACTGAGCCAGTAGTTCAGTTTTTGTTGCTTTGGTTTTCTCATTTTTTCAGAACTGTCTCTAGGTCTTTTATTACCTTTAACTTCGTTCCATTCTTCTTTTCTGCACGATTTAATATCATTAGTTTTAATATCGATTTTAGCGTTATGGATTTCGCTCATAGATCCTGATCGTTCTCGTTGAGAAACCTTCAGTAAACTTGAAATGTCTTTATTTTGTTTATTCATTTTTTCTGCTGAACTAAGTTCTTTTTTAGTTCCAACAACTGCTGGCGAATTATTACATTTTAGTTGGTGTGTACCACCTTCCACCTAAATTAAACAGAAAAGATTTTGTTAATAAATTACACATTTAAGAATAAGCGAATTGCAATTGGTATAATTTCTAAGTCAATTTGCACACTTTTATTTCTTTTTTATGTTAAGCATTCAAGCTTTATATGCTATCTCTATCAGCTGTTTTAGATGTGTGTGGAAAAATATTAATAAAGAAATTCAAAACAAGTTAAACTATTTTTTTCTTTTGATAAAAACAAATGTTTTAATTTAATAAAAGTCTCACTTATCTTTTTAAGTCGTGCACAATTTTATTAGATTTTTATTTAGAGTCACTATCTCATTTGATTTAATTAAATTTGTGATCACTGTATTCCATTTGTTAATAAAAAAAACATTGAAAGTTGCGGAGTGATTTATTTTGCGCGCACTTCATGTAACAGGTTATCTACTTATGTTCAAAGCAAAGTAATTTGATTAAAATTTTTTTTTTCATACACACTTTTCGTAAATGGTCTTTCATTTTGCAGAAATGACAAATCGTATTTCTGTGCTTACATTCCTTTGCCATGTGTGGCAAAGGAATCCACTGCCACATCTATAGCATTTTTTTATCTTCGGATATGTTCAGTGAAGGTTGCAAGTTAAATTTAATTCTTTTTAAACCTCTTTGTTTTATACCGTGTATTTTATTTTAGGTATCTATTTCTGCAAAAATTTTGATGTGCGGTTTGGTGTAATTCCATTCCACTCATTTCCGCTCCTTCGTATGCCGTTGCTACGTTAACTGAGTGATGCAAGTGTAATGTTTTTCTTTTCAATAACCTGCCTTTTGCTTTGCTTTGGTTCTTTAAACCAAAAACAAATTGATTTCGCAGTACAGTCTCTAAGTATGTAAAATTATAAGCGTTTTTATAATTTGTGGCATTGATATTTATTTAAGTTTATTTAATTATATACAATTTTTACTTTTTGTGTGCACCCGTGTGCTGACACTTTCGCGTTCAAATACAAGAGAGAGGATCAAACCAACGGAGTTTACTTGCAGCCAAAAAATATAACAATAATTTGCTCAACTTGAGCACGAAAATAACAGGCAATAAAGAGCAAGAATTAGAACCGTTGGTTCGATTACAGATTACACAGAGGGTAGTTAGAATAATTAATTAAGCATATTTTAACCTATTAATTATATAATATATCAATTGTACAATTGATATATTAAATATATAGCCTACAATATACAATATATCAAGTATAAAAAATATTAATCGCATAATATATTATTTATTTGGGTTCAAGCGCTCCAACAAAGTGTTATGTCAGCCAAGGAGGTTTTATTGTAGAATTAACTGCCCTGCATGACATGGTGGCAAGCCCGGTATGCTCGCCGGTTTTGGGGTAGGGTTCTTGGCTACTAAATACTACTGCTGACAACTAACAAAAAAATCATGTCATGACTTACTTCTACCTAAACCTATCATACCACTATTAATTCTTAACTCTTAATTAATTCACTTTTACTTATAAAAGAACTATATGTATAATAAGAACAAAAAAAATTAAACCTGTACTTCAATTTCTGCTTCCTACTTCTTACTTCATTTTCACTAATATATAATCTAAATTCTACACTACATCCACAATCCAAATTTCCTCTTTTCTCTTCTTTTTCTATTCAAAAACACATTTCGATGATCCCATTACTTTTCATATAGCCTACTAGATTAGACCGACCACAAACAACTGAAAAGATAATATTGTGCGCTTCACTTACTCTGTCTCGTGTTGAACTTAAAGAAACATTCATCATACAGAATAGGCATTGCTCCCTTTTCGTTTGAAATAATGAATGCAGCTGCCGTAGAACTGAAAGTAATCTCTTCACTTTTACGAAGCCACTATGTTTTACAGGATCCCATACCAAGGTTCCGCATCATTAATATCATATCTTTCTCATCTTTGAGGAATTGCTCATCATATGGAAGCTCCTCAAAATTGGAATATCTTTTCTTTGCGGCCATCCTATCACTATTACCTGAATATTTATCTATATGTGTTAGAACTATCTCTGTATCTCTTTTACTAGTCTTACTAGACTAACCCACAGCACACCTTTAGAGCTAGTGACTCGTACCTTTTTTTTGTATTATTTTATTGATATTACAACTATCTTAGATATCTAGTAATACTTTTAACAAATGAAAATTTGGAAGTTTCAGTTATCTTAAATCATCATTTAAGATAACATGTTAATGATAATAATATATTTCATACAAATTTCATACAAATTTATAATAGATAAATAAATACATAAGTAAATAAATAAGTAAATAAATATATAAGTAAATAAATAAGTAAATAAAATAAATAAATAAATAACATAATAATAAATAAATAAAAAGATATATACATAAAAAATAAATAATAATAATAAATTAATAAACATAAATTAAAGTAAAGGATTCAACTTAATTTAATACTTAATACTTAAGTATGTTGGAAGTGGAATTTTTATCAAAAAGTCAATATAGATCTGCAAATCTTCGATGAGCTTCCTTTTTCTTCTGAATTATGTGCTCCTTCCAAGTCAGCTTTTGGTCTAATAGTATGCCCAAGTATTTGGCTTTCTTGCAGATTGGTATATCAATGTTAACAATTTTCAGTTTCTGTTCTTCAAATTTCCTGTTGTTGAAAATAACTTGGACAGTTTCTTCGGCGTTTATCTTTATTCCCCAAGTGTCAGACCAATGCATCACTTCGTTTAGATGATTTTGAAGGTTTACAGTTGCTTTAGTGATATCATGGTTCGTTGATAAAAGTCCAGTGTCGTCAGCAAACGTTACAGTTAGTATTTCTCCACTTTTTGGCTTAGGTATGTCTGCAGTGTATAATAAATATAGGATCGGGCTTAATACACTCCCTTGAGGGACACCGGTTTCTATTTTTATCATGTGGGATGAGTCGTTTTGATATTGCACAAAGAAATACCTATCTTTAAGGTAGCTCTTCAGTAGTAAATAATCGGTATGTTGTAAGGATAGAAATTTTTACCAATTTCCAACCTACATATAACTAGTGTGCAGTTAATACCTGAAATAAAAATTGGTTAATTTTTATATAATATATTAAAAGTAAATAACTTACCATAAACCCACCCCCGCATGCACGTAACTTCACCACATGAATAAAACCTAAAATTACATTTAAAATTTAAAAGAATGCAAAAAAATATTGTACCTACCTTATTTATTTATTATTTAAACTTATACTTTTAATATTTTAATTATTTATTTTATTTTAATAAATAAATATAAATGTTTAAAGCTGCCACTACCGACGCTAAGCTAAACACGTTTCAAAACAAAGGATATGCACAACACAAGAAACGTCAAGCTTTTGCGCAAAGAGCTTTATGTAAAAATTGATGCGCGCGTATATTAACTACGGCGAAAGCACAAAACAGCAACTACGTCAAAATGTAAACCAGCTGTAAACTAAGTTTTGTGCTACATTAAAGTTTGGTCTGATGCGTATATAAGAAGACGCATTTACTTAGAAGAGGCAGTTAGTGATCGACACTTGAATTCATCGGACAGAGTGATCGACATCCCAAGTGACCAGAAGAACACAGGAGGATTTCCAGCAAGCAACGTAGTCAGCTAAGTATCAAAAACCGCGTCGACAATATCTTTCTTTTATTTTTGTTTTTTTTATATAAAATTATGTATATTTCCTTTTAAACGTGTATACGTTTATATCTGTCCAAACCTATTATAAGCGTGTATACGTTTATATCTGTCCAAACCTATTATAAGCGTGTATACGTTTATGAGCCAATCCCATATAAAATCTAATACACTAGCTTAAAATATTTTTATATTCTAACCATTGTTAGCTTTAAGAAACAAAAATCGAATAAATATATTTCTGAAAATTAATAACTAAGACACTGTGTCCTCATTCTATATAAATTTATTGCAACGACCCAGGACCAACCACTGAGTTAACCCCAGCAAACAGGAACGAACGAAACGTGTCGTTACACTGTAATGTTGATAATTGAAGCATTCGCTACTTCAATTGTTTACTACTTTCCAAACAGACGGGAAAATCTTATTGCTGATCATGCAGTTAAAGATGTTTCTAATGTAAATGATAGCTATTACAGGTAATTCTAGAAGAAATTTACCAGATATCACATCATAGCCTGGTGATTTTTTTGGGTTGATGTTAACGGCGATGATGTTTTATATTTTAGCAATTGTTGTCTTCTTTATTGTAACATTCTTCTGGGTCAGGTTCTTGGGTAGTGCATGGTTTGTATCATTTTTAGAATTTGTAAATGTGCTCTTAAAATACTCAGCGAGAACAGTTGCTTTTTCTTCGTTAATGCGCGCCCAAGTGTTATCTTCGTTTTTAAGCGGTGCGCAATGGAGTATGACACCATTACTGGTATTTAATTCATAATACAGCTATCTCTACTAGCCCGATAAAACAAATCTCACACCTCAAGAAGTATAATAACCAACTAAATGAATTATAACCAATTATTTTATAATTTCTAATAATTGTTTTTACATTTATTGAGTCTTAAAAATATCAGTTTACAATAACAAAAGAAAATAATAAATAAAAAAAAACAATTTATTTAGGTATCATATATGAAAAAAAAACTATTTTATAAACAAAATATACACGATCAACTCTCCATATAAATATATGTATTTAACTTTTACTGACATAAATTTCATGAATCCATACAAAATCAGATATTCTTGTCGTACATCAAATTATTTAAATCTTTTTGTTTTATTAGTTCTATTACATCATTTTTTTTTTTGTTGACGTTTCTTTAAGTTTAACACTAGGTACTTACTACTTTCACCGAAACGCCGTCATTTCGTGTGTTCCAGGTACCTAGCTAAAAAAAACAATTAAGAGAATTTATGGAAATAAATATATATGTGTATCCCTTGCTAGGTAGTCACCTTGTCGTGGTGTAGGGGCTTATTGTGGACTGAAGCATGTCATATGGAAGTCATGACATGATGATTTTTCATGTGACATGATTCAGCACACAAACTAAGAACTGCCGCCAACGCACAGGTTGAAAGTAGGTATCTACGATTCCTGATCAGTCGTTGAGGCTAGCTAGTGGACTTTAATGGACACTTGCTAATTGGTCAGTCCTATAGGAAAGTGCGGCTATCTATCAGACCAATGACTCGCCTTCAGTACGGTCATGTCTCTGCTGTTTGTGGGTCGCCGATAGTCGGGCGGGGGAGAAGGAAAACTCCCTAGGGCAGGGTCTGTACATATTCTAGGCTCCCAAGGCTAGGTCTTGATAGACTGGAATATGAACATACCTATTGCCCCAAACAAACCCCCTAAACTCACAGTGGAACAGCTATGCTGGTGAACTTGCTTGACAGGGTAGAGTCAAGCTTAATAGCGAACTCCGTACCAGGTCTGGCAAACCTACGGTTTCAATTTGTCCTTCCCATGGGGGCACTCATGGGTGACCAACCTGCACGGTTTATTTAAACTTACTTTGTATGGAACAAAATAACATTTTCAATTCTATGGACTGCACACCTTTAAATGTGCAAAATATGGTTTTACAAAGCCAAAACTTATCATTGAACGAGGGGGCACCTGGTACCATCGTCAGTGAACAAATGGACCACGACTTGTTGGAGAGGGCACCTGGTCCTCTACCCGACAAGCCGGAGGAAATGGACATTCCACTTAGCCAAGAGTCGGCTGGGATGTCTATCTCCTCGGAACAGGAGAGAGATCTTCTGGAGCCTGGTCTAACTAAAAAGACTCAAACGAGGGTGAAGCTATCCGGCGCTGGACGCAAAAGGTTGAAGGCTTTACTTGCCAAGGGCATCCCGCTGGAAACAGCAAGGTCCTTGGCAGTAAAGCCGGCCACTGCGACTAACGAAGGGCAGGCAACACCAAAAAGATCCCGATCGGACAGCTCTACACCAACATCAAGCTCAAAACCGACAAAGCGGATTGCACTACAGGGCAAGAAAGTTGATAATAAATCAACAGTGCCTGCAACTGCTTTGCCGATTTTCAGTAGGATGAAGGAAGTAGAGACCTCACACGGGGGCAAACCTGGTCCCAGTAAAGAGGTGGCGATGGTATCTGTGGGGCAGGCTAAACACAGTACTTCTTCCGAAGACCATTGTTCAAAGCCTACCCTAGCAGAGACTGTTCGCTCTAAGAAGATCGGTATACTACCGCATAATTTCCCAGAGGGCATTTGGTCCAATGAGGAAATTGGCAAGGTGCAGAAATGCATCCTCGACAAGATGTACGAAACTTGTCGAGCTCCTGGGGTGAAGCCTCATTTCGCCGGTTACAGTCTAAAGCCCGGATGGTTTACCATTAACTGTCTGGACGACGAGACTGTAACTTGGTCTAAAGAGACAATCCCAGCCTTGAAGCCGTGGGAAGGAGCCCAGCTGAAGGTAGTGGACGAGGCAGAAGTGCCAAAGTCTGAAATCTATGTTGGCTACTTCCCAGGCTCAGCTTCCTGGCAAAGCGACCGTATTCTGGGACAAATTGAGTGCCAAAATTCGGGCATGCGTGTCAGGGACTGGCGGGTACTCCACAGGCTCAATAAGGGCGATATCGTCGAGATGGCGATTGCTCTGGATCCTATGTCGTCCGAAATGGTCGGAAAGCTGGGCAATAAAGTCTTCTATGGACTTAGCAGTGCCGTGCTGAGACCAAGATATAAAGGAAACAGAGCAAAGGAAGTGGTTGAAGATGAGCGACCAACAACATCTGCGGCTTGTGCTCAGTCAAGCAACCAGAAGCCGAAAACGGGTCTCAATTCCGGGGGACCACCCTTGAGAGGGGGCAGAATCCGTGCCCAGGGCCGAAAACCTTCCGCTCTCTCTGGTCGTCTGAGGAAATGGGAAAGAAAAGACCCGGAGGCCGCGGAATTGCTGCGCGGTACGAAGGGCGGCAAGGTCCGCAAGGGCCAGTCTGGGATATAATGTCCCGGACTCCGCCACATCCGCAAAACTCTTGGAGGCAACTTCATTGCCTCCAAATCAACCTCCACCGGGCTATAGCAGCTTCATACAGGCTCAGTGCCCTGGTGGAACAACACTGTCTGGATTTTGTGGCCATCCAAGAACCATGGGCCACAAAGGGGCGCATAAACGGTCTACAGACAAAAACGTGTAAGTTAATCTATGATAATAATGTTGATCGTCCTAGAACGGCGATAATGATTAACAAAACCATTAAATCTCTTCCAATTACAGAGCTCATACAGCGTGATCTGGTGGCGGTACAGGCAGAAGTGCCTAGTACTAGGGGGACGAGAATAATAGTTTTTGCATCTCTGTACCTCCCTGGCGACGCAGAGGAAGCGGTGTCTCTCGAGCTCCAGCAGCTTACAGAATACTGCCGTATCCGAAACCTACAGTGGGTAATGTGCTGCGACGCCAACGCACACCATACAGTATGGGGAAGCACAGACATCAATACACGAGGTGAGTCACTTTTTGATTATATCACAACTAACAATTTAATGGTAGTTAATAAAGGTAACGAACCTACTTTTGTAAATGCGATAAGGGAAGAGGTATTAGATCTCACTTTAGCAAGCACATTTATATCAAATAACATTTCAAATTGGAGGGTGTTAGAGGAGAACTCCTTATCAGATCACAAATATATACGCTTTGATTTGGAAGGGGAAGTTGAAGACACTTTCGAAATAAGAAATGTTAGGAAGACCAACTGGTCTCTATATAACTTCTATTTAGAACAAAACATTAGTTGTCTTGGGAATAGGATTACTAATTGTCAGGAACTAAATCTTGAGGTTAACAAACTAGAAAATATTATTACAGGGGCTTTTGAAAATAGCTGCGAACTTATCAAAAAGAAACGTTCTAGGAACGTCCCATGGTGGAATAGGGAACTAGATATTTTACGCAAAAAAGCCCGCCAGCTCCTTAATAGAGCCAAGTCCAATGGGGACTGGGCATCTTACAAGTGTGCCTTAACGGCTTACAATAGGGAATTGAGGAAATCAAAGAGGGAATCATGGAGGAGGCACTGCGAGGAGATTGAAACACTTCCTGCGGCTGCGAGACTCCAGAAATCTCTAAATAAAGACCACTCAAATAGCCTCTCTACATTAAAGAAGGCTGACGGAAGCTTTACGGTAAGTCTGGAAGAAACGGGACAGCTTTTGCTGGACACTCATTTTCCAGGCTGCGCCATGTATACTGAGACTACGGAAACCATCGAGGATACTCGTTTCTTATTGGTTACACGAAGAGATCTTTCACTGGCCCGTAAAATCTTTACAGTCAATAAAACTAAATGGGCCATTTCCACTTTCAGCCCGTTTAAATCACCTGGTATCGATAATATACAACCGTGCCTTCTTCAGAAAGGCGTTGATATATTAGCACCGATATTAACAAACTTATTTAGGATAAGTCTAGAATTAGGCGTAATACCTAAACATTGGACGAAGGCTAGGGTAGCTTTCATACCGAAAGCAGGCAAAAAGGCGGACCACACGCCAAAAGCTTTTCGGCCCATTAGCCTTACTTCTTTCCTGCTTAAAGCAATGGAGAAGATTCTAGATCAATACATCAGGGAAGTCTATATTAAAGCTTCACCTCTACATATTGAACAATATGCTTATCAGTCGGGCAAATCGACCGACACCGCTATACATAGTCTGACGAGTAAAATCGAGAAGGTTTTAGACGGTAAGGAAATAGCTCTCTGCACATCGGTTGACATTACAGGAGCTTTTGATAATGCAACATTCAGATCAATTGAGGCAGGAATGGTCAGGAAAGGAATACATAGACTGATCATAACATGGATTCTCAATATGCTGAAAAATAGGACGATAATCTTTGAAATGGGGACGAAGAGATTAACTGTCAAGTCAACCAAAGGATGTCCTCAAGGAGGCGTTCTTTCGCCACTCCTATGGCTATTGGTCATTGACGAACTCCTACAGTCTCTTGGTGACCTCGGATATGAAGTTCAGGGCTTTGCAGATGATCTAGTCATCATGGTTAGAGGCAAATTCGACTCCACCATATCCGATCGTATGCAACTAGCTCTTGATATCACTCAAAATTGGTGTCAAGAGAAAGGACTCTCGATTAATCCGAATAAAACAAATGTAGTACCCTTCACCAGAAGAAGGAAGATGAGTCTAGGGACCTTAAAGTTAGGGGACACTGACTTAATACTATCTGAGGAAATGAAATATCTAGGAGTAATTCTAGATAAAACTCTTACTTGGAAAAACCATTTATCATATATAACTGGCAAAGCTCTAAGAGCAACTTATGCGTGCCAAAGACTGTATGGTAAAACATGGGGTCTGCGACCAAAAATGATGGCTTGGTCGTACAAGACCGTAATAGTACCGATGATCACCTATGCTTCTTTGGCATGGTGGCCAAAGGTAAATCAGACGAAGGCTAAGATGACTCTCAATAAGATTCATCGAACAGCCTGTCTAAGCGTAACGGGAACAATGAGAACGTGCCCCACAGAAGCCCTAGCAATGCTTACTGGACTCACCCCATTACACATTACAGTTAAAAGGACTGCGACCAGTGCTGCACTAAGGCTTCCTTATCTAGGTAATCTTAAAGAGGGCAATCTGACAGGACACGCAAAGATTCTAGATGAAATCTGGAATTCTCCGTGCCTTAAGGTCTTCGACAAGATTAATAGAAAATTAGCATTCTCCAGGGAATTCGAAGTGGTCATTAGTGACCGATCAACTTGGAGAAATAATAAAATAAACTTAAAGCAGGGCTCTCGATTATGGTATACTGATGGGTCCAAGATGGATAATGGCAGTGCAGGAGCAGGAGTTATGGGACCAAACTTCTGTAAAGCAATCGCAATGGGAAAAACTGCTTCCATTTTTCAGGCAGAAGTCCATGCCTTAGAGCTTTGTGCAAGAGAATGCATACGTAGGGGCACCCGAGGTACCAACATATGCATTCTATCAGACAGCCAAGCAGCTCTAAAATCT